TTAATGGCCTGCCGGTCAAGTGCCCGGCTCAAAGGGCACGCGTCCCGGCATCAGTGGCGCCTGATATCTGCGAAGCGGCAGCTTTGCAGCTCTTGCCTGAGCCCATCATAGGGTGATGCAAGAAGGGCCCTAGTCCCAACCTGCTGCTCCATGTGTGCACGTCTTCGATCCTGGGCCACAAGATCCGGGTCAGCTTCATAAGATTCGGCCTGCAGTTCCGCTGCCTCCGTATCCATGTTGATAAAGTAGGCCACGATCGGCTGTGGGTGCAAAGACGTTCTCGACATGTCCACATCCCTCTGAAGCAAGGACACCTCACCGTCGACGTTTGCCACCTGACAAATCGTGCTCATGCTACCATGTCTTTAGAGACCTCCAGGTGGCTCCTTAGCTCCCTCCTAGAAGTCAAACTTGGCTCCCTTCCAACCACCAGCTAGCATAACTGTGAGCCCGCTGACTGCCTGGCCTTTCCGCCTGCATTGATGGAAAACTCCAGGCCAGAAGCAGTGAAAAGGAAAGCCAAACACAAAAGCCCGGCCATTGATGGGCTTGACCTGCAGCTGACGCGCTGAGGTGTTGCACTGAAACTAATATGAACATTGCTCTTCAGGCCACTCTATCTCACTCTCTCTCTCTCTCTCTCTCCCGCTTGCGTTCTGCGTGTATTCCGCTCTCTTTCCATCTTTGACAGGAATTGGATGCCTGAACGGCTCAGCTGCAAGGTGGCATGGAAATACGTACAGAGCGTACCACGAGACCCCCAGCCGGGCTCGTGCTTGAGCCAAGGTGCCCATGGGTTCGAGGACAAACAAATCAGCACCACACAAGAAGCTCTTCATGCCAGCTGGGGGTTGATCAACATGTCCGTTACGTGGGATGGCCATGGGGGGGAAACCACTAAAAAACTTGAGATGTCATATGTCCCACGAAATGGGAAAAGTTACCCGCGCTCATAAAAGCCCAGTCGTTCATCCCTCCTGGTCATTCGCGCCGCGCGGAGTTCCTCCTGTCTGACAAGTGGAAGCACAGGCCACACACGATCAACGGATTGAAACATCGCAACCACGCTCCTGCAATTTGGCATTCTCGCGCAGCAAGTTGTTGATCCGCCCGTCATGCTTCTGCCTCTCCTCGCAAAAATGGCCGCGTCAAGCGCTCTCTCGGCAGCGGAAGGCCTCCGTGCGCTCCCCCAGCAAGGCTTGCTGCAAGCGGCGACCTCGATCCTCGTAGGCGTGCAGCACCTCCGGCATCCATGTGAACTCATGCGGCTATGATTGTTGCCGACAACGGTTCTTCCGCTAAAATCGCCAGCCTTACCGCACAGACGAGTTTGCACTTTCCAACTTGCACGAGCCAACTTGCACGATAATTTACCGCACAGCCAAACTTACTCGAGCCATGCTTGGACGAGCCAACTTACACGAGCCAACTTGCACGAACCAAGCTTGCACGAGCCAACTTGCCCGAGCCAACTTGCACGAGCCAACTTGAACGAGAACTCACCGCGCAACCAAACTTGCACGAGCCAAGCTTGCACGAGCCAACTTGCACAAGAATTTACCGCACAGCCAAGCTTGCACGAGCCAAGCTTGCACGAGCCAAGCTTGCACGAGCCAACTTGCACGAGCCAACTTGCACCAACCAAGCTTGCACGAACCAACTTGCACGAGAACTTGCCGCAGGGCCAAACTTACACGAGCCAAGCTTGCACGAACCAACTTGCACGAGCCAACTTGCACGAACCAAGCTTGCGCAAGCCAACTTGCACGAGAACTTACCGCACAGCCAAGCTTGCACGAGCCAAGTTTGCACTTTCCAACTTGCGCGAGCCAACTTGCACGAGAATGTGCCGCGCAGCCAAACTTGCACGAGCCAACTTGCACAGGGATTGGCGTGGACACAAAAGGAGGACGTTTTGCGATGTCCGATTTGCGCGCCCGACCCTCTGCGGGGATTGGCGTGGCTCGATGTGCAAAAACTGGGGACTTTTTACGACTTCTGATTTGCGCGCGCGCAGCCCTCTGCGGGGATTGGCGTGGTCGACACATGCTACGTTTTCAAGTCGGAACGCGGGTTTGAAAGTTTGGCGCGCCTGCTCTTGGAAGCGAGCAGCCCCGGGCTCGAATCCTGCTTGGTCTCCGCGGCTTCTAAGTTAGAAAGTCAGCAGCGCGAAAGTAACACGCAAAGCGCGCGTATGCAGCTCCGGCTGGGACATCGTAACTTACGTACTTTTTCTCACGTCCGGGTCGACAGTGAAGCCAAATCGAAAAGTTGCTGTGTTTCGGTCAGCACTGCGCGCAGAAGACTTGCTCAGAGAACTTGCTCCTAGAAACTTGTCCCGCAGCACACTTGTGCAGAGCGCTTGCGCGTTGCAACTTGCACAGAGCACAGAGCGCCGCGCCGGCGACACAGGCCACGCGAGAAGCCGGCAACCCCACAAGCTCCAGCATTCAGGCAGCCAGGAGACGCGGAAGCCAGCTTCCAGTTTCAAGCTGCGGCGGCAAAGGTCTGCTTTGCTTGCGCCTGCACAGTATAGAGGCCCATGACTCAGAAGATCCTGCGCCTCCACAATAAGCGACTTGAGGGCTCCGTTTTGCCCGTGGAAGATTTCATGCAAGATTTGAAGTTTTCGAACCTCAGAGCCCCAGGTCTTCGGATTACGTGCGCGCGCTGGCCTGCGCGGAGGGCGGTAGAAGAAGTCTGCGAAGGCAACCAGAAGCAGTTGCTGATGAGACACCATGGTCCAGCCCTGCCGGACCACGAACCCGACAGCGCTTTTGTTGCGGAAGGCCTGTGTGGCTTCACGCAGGGGCGAGTGAACAAGGATGACGCCACTGACAAAGTCACAATGATTGCTGAGTGGGTGGCGCCAGTGAAGG